TGAGGGGACTAGCAGAACAAGAAGAACTAAATTGATCAAATATAAACATTTTAACGGATAGAAACGTATCTATACATTTTTCTACAACTAATGTATAAAAATAAAAAAAGATTAATTTAATTTTGACACATGGTATAACCTACATGTACATACATGTATAACCTAATGCAGGTATCCGTATATAATAGAATACAGTTCTTAGATACAATACAGTAGATTTGTATGGAAATCGCGCCATGTAGAAGCAACTGTATAATACGACGTGATACTCTGAAACAGTCACCTATCTAACACATACACCTGATTTTAAAACATAATTTTATTCTATGAACAAGTTAAGATAATCATAAAAATCAATACAAACTAATACAGACCTAGGTTTATGGGAAATAAGTAATGCTAAACAGTGATATGCGGACTATAAATAGATAGAAAACCTAAACTATAAGCCTATTGAAAAGTGTAAACTAAATTTATGGGACAAAACCGATCAAATATTGTTATCATGCGATTATTAATCTCAAGTTGTAATTTATAGAGTTATATGCAGAAATAGTGTAAAATATTACAATTAAAAGTATTCTGAATTTGTGAAACTAAAGTCTGAACCTATACAGTATAGTTAGCTAAATTCAGTATTTTGTAAACAGTACAGTTAGTGAGTTGATTTTAGCTGGCTGGTAGTCTTTTTTCAGTTCAATGTCAGATACTATTATTCCTGAATAGTATTTATATTTATTGTTAATATTTTTAAAGCCTTCGTGTTGTATTTCAATACTTCATTATAATGAACTTAATGTATCACGTTTGATTGTTCATAATTGACCTTGTCGTTTTGTTTGCCCTAATGTGTAGTATAAGAGTGATTTTCTTTAAAGTAATATGTATGTATGAGTTTCCTAGGCAGGTACCACGAAATAGATGCGCAGCCTCCTAAAAATATTGGGCAAGTAGATTTATCATAACATTTTGATATCTTAGTTAAATGTCGAGAAACTTTTACACTAACATATATTATAAATATTTATTCCCTAATAAAATTAGTTTAAATTTTTTGCAAAAAATAAAATTTATCCTACAAGGACAAGTTATGAAAAGGCCAAATCTACACTGAGATGGAAACATATTTTCGTGATTTACACCACAATAAGTGAACATTAGATGAAAACGCATATTTAACTCCTAATGCAAACTCCTAAAGTCTTAATGACCAATAAAACAAGTCAGGAGCCTATGCAGTATGCACCTTTAAAGTATAAAAAGAGTTTAATCTCATTTAGTTCTGTTATCATCATAAAAATTATACCTATAAGAATAACCTAGTGGTAAGTTAAAGAGATAATTTCAATCTCTTAACACTTTTTGATTGTGACAATAATTCTTTCCTCACTCGATTCCATGCTTAAAATCTTTCTTTTAAATTACTCCATTTCACGAAAACATATAATACTGTAGGTACAAAACAGTATTTTTTACTAAGATATTAGGTATGATTTAAATTTATAAACAATATAATTTGTAGAATTTACCCAGAAAAGATTTGTTTTAAACTCAGTAAAACTATTTAGCTACGTAAGATTTAGGGAAAAAATAACCTTCATATGTATAGAAAAACATCACTATTGTCCATTTTATCACTTGTTATTATAGCACACATTTTACAACTTTAATTCTCAAGTGCAATAAATTGTGTATCAATTTGGAAAACAAAAATAGTATCACTATTGTTTCCCATTGTATTGTTATTGGAATATTTAATTGTAATCATGCAAAATAGTAACATTAATAAGTTATTCTATTGATTGACATTATGATACATAAAAATCATTATCATAAACATAAAGCAGCCCTAAAGTTAATATCTTCACGATAGTAAATGGTAACTAATAACAACTACTCGTATAACTGCTAAATTCCAACAAAATAATGCCAAAACCGTCATCCTTGTTGCTTTTCTTACAATAAAACTTAAATATAGAGGCAGTTTTAGCTTAACTGGTATTTTTTAGAAATTAATCGTGCATACTTTTGACAGTAAGAAAAAAAAAACACGTGTTTATACCAACTGCAAATAAAAAATAAACTACCCTGGAAGTAAAGTTGTCAAACGTCATCCAATATTTGCTTTCCAAGAAAAATCCCACACCAGACAATCCTGTTTTTTACAACTGAGTACATGTAAAGGGTAAACTGTGAGTTAATTTAGGCACGTTTTTTCGTAAAAAAAAAAACATATTCAATGTCATATAAAAATAAAATTTATTTAGTTTACCGGTGAGGTAAACATTATCACAAAAATTATTATCATTATAATAATCATATTTATTTTATTTAACTGTAAATTCCAATAAGTAATCGTAAACATTGATGTATGGTTTTTTTCATAAAGCTATGGAACTTATGCATTTCCACCATTGAATTTAAACCCGAAATTCTTAAATCTTTTTTAATAATTGAAAACAACGTATTAGTATATAGACCAATCTTTGATTCTGAAGAATATGAAAGTTGTAATTAGCCTAATGCTTTCAAAGATACGCAAAAGAAAAACTACTTCCACTTTTTATTTAGAATATAAAACGATAAAGTTTTCTAGGAATGCCGAGTTTAGTCCCTTTCCGTGTAATATCCAGCATTATAATTTATTTGTTTACATTTATAAAAACACTTATGAAATAGAAATACACCGTTTAGGTCATCATTGCAATATAAATTGCCTAGTTCGTAACTAAATCTTATTTATTTAGCTAGATCAAGCTAATCCCTTTTACTAAAAGTACACGCTTCCTAAGCCGTGGTAAATTGATGGTTAAAGAGTGATGATTATCGTTTTCAGATTTCTTTAGAATTTACCCATCCCTAGTTATTTATTGCCAAAATAAGGGTTAAGTGCTGCAACGCGTCCTTTTTTGTTTATAATTGGGGTAGTTCCTTTCTCCATTCACGGGAGACTTTTTAGTTTTCACATTATGACGTAGACAGGACACTTTACATAAACTTTGTATTATGAATAAACTAAAAAAATATCGTCTTAAATATAAGGTTAAAACATATAGATGGATGACCAATAAATTGTATGCAAGAAAAACATTTTCTGAAATATTATTCATTAGGGAGGTTTATGAATCAAATTGTATTTTAAGCATGTTTCCATTAACTAAAACTATACATTGTTTATACTGTAGAATGAAAAATATTTTATTATTAAGGTATTTTAATGATTATTCATATCAGATTTTCATCTAATCTATAATAGTGTAGGGTTAAAATTTAAGGGAGTTGAAATTCTGGTGAACTCGTATGTTTGACACATAAAGAACATGTTTGATTTGAGTCAACATTTGCGTTTTACCACGCTCAGCAAAATTCAGCAATTACTTCTGTTGCAAGATTCCGTTTTTCATCAAAAAAGGCTTAAATACATTCTGGCATATTTCCAATCAATTTGTCTCTCATGTTTGATTGATTATGCTCAAGAACTATGACTCATTGTTAAAGTAGCTACTTGTTACCGATTTCCTTCCTAATAGAGACTGTTGGGACAGAACTTACAGAAGAGATGTTAGGTTTAAATCAATTTGTAACCAAGAAGATAAAGCTTAAAGTTATTATAATGTAAAAAAAACTTGTAAAAATGATTAGGCTCATAAAGCATCCTGATATTAAAATCCTTAATCGAGTTTTCCATAAATATTCATAACTGAATTCTAAAACCACAAAAAAAACTACCAAACTAAAAAAAGTAATACCCATTGAAACCTCCAAATTATAATTTAGCAAGAGCCTGATTAGACTTTAAATGCAATTAAAATCCATGTTTCTAGCATCTTAGCTGTTGGAGATAATATGAGACAAAATTACTTACGTAGTTCTGGTCCCAGCTCAACGAAACGTGACGACTTAGTACATGTTTCAGTTTCAAAACCCCTTCTTTACATTCAGGTACTTGCAGAATTGGTTAGTTGTTTAGCAAAAATGATTTAAACATAAAAAAAAACAGGCATGTTCTGACGTATTTGATCGCAATTGCCATACTTTGTTTACCCTTGAGGATGATCAAGTCTACAAGTAAGTTACCTGAAACAAACGATGATGTTTCAACCCCGAAGCATTACTAAATTGGCATACTTTGTTGAGCTGTGACAAGAATTACGTAAGATATTTAGTCTTACTGTATGTTATTAGTTATCATTTGTTGCATACATCTCAATATCTCTATAACCCAATCTAGCCACACACACACCCCTTCCATAACGCTCCATGTCACTCCCCCACCAAGGCAAAACAATTCTTGAAAATTTGGTTCTCGTTCTAAGTTATGCATTTGAAAATGTATATAGATTTTCATAAAAACACTGTAACATGAAACATAAAATAAAATTAAACTAAATATATAAATCACTACGACTACGATGCGAAGAATATTGTTTATATTTCTATATCAACTAATAATATCCAAGAACTTTCTCATTAACATACTAAATTTTCCTTTATCAAAAATAATTATCTAATTAATTAATATATACCTTCATGAATTATATTTCCTCAATTTACATTTTTAAATTACATACAAATCACCTGTACATCCACTACTGAACCGATATGCCCTCCACAGGAGTCGTACCAACTACTGCAAGGCGAATTTCCGTCAAGGAAATTGCAAGGCGTAATTTCTGGCGTACAAGGCTTAATTTGATCATAAATAAAAAAAAAACACACACTTTACTTTATACAAAACAAGCTGCTGTGATAAAAGACTAAACGAATCGATTGTGCATATAACTATAAGTTGATTACTACAGTTATAAGTTTTATCTTTATTATTATTATTATTTCTGAAAATAATTCATACAAAAAAAAATTATAAACATATATATATTAGAAATGTTTCCTAAAAGTGTGTATTAGACACCGAGGGTCTATTCTTATCACCCAAATGTATGAAATTTGTATGTTTGAACTGGGTTATTTTAGTTAACAATAAAACCTTTAACCGATAACAATTGCTGAGGCTTTAATGTGGTTTTCATTTTACATACATCTATAAATGTACAAAAAACGTAATTCCTGGAAGATGAGACATTTTAAACACTTAAAGGTGGAATATTACCACTTAACAAAAACTTTATTAATACTCTGATTCAGTGTAGAAAGGAAAACATTTGATTTATTAGGTCTCAATAAGTTGTGGATTTTATATTGTAGGTCATAATTGTAGAGGATGATCAATATGCAACCAAATATCTCAAAACCATCCATAGTATAGGCCTACAGATAAGGTCACGGTTCAGCTTCGTGTTCTTCCATTTCCTTGTAGAAGCTGTAGACCACGACAACCACATATATACTTGTAACTGAAATCAAATTTGAACAACATTGTTAGCAATACACACAATTCAAAACCTAGAGTATTCTGTTCACATTCAAGGTAAGCTAAGTAAAGGTTTGAAGTATAATTCAATTAGCTAAACAAAAGATGCAATAAGCAATTTAGACACTTCGTTATTTCTAAAGCCTTTAGATTATCAGCCATAATATATATATATGGATTACCATTATTAGGTTAACATTATTAACCTAATTTTAGTTATTTAAAGCTTGGGGAAGTATTCAACAAAATCTTTAAAACTGGTTAGGCTAGCCTTATAGACCGAAAATACTCCAAAGATTTTTTTGTATAAATCCACAAACAAAATTTGAAGGGCAAATCCTTAATCAAAAGGCTTAATATTTCAAAATAAGGGTATTTTAAAAACAATATTGAAGGCAGAGATTATTGGAGAATTAATTACGATTGTTCATGAATCTGTGTCCCGAAAATCTTTATCTTTGAACAAAGCATGATTTTTTATATTCATAAACGTTAACATTTTTTTCTAAATCTTTCACGCAACATCCTAAATCAAACACCTGATACAATTTCAAAACCTTATAACATTTTCCCTTTACATTTTCCTAAATGTTGAGTAGCTTTTAAGATGAAAAATATATGATCGATATGTATGCCTATGATACTATCTATCGATACTGAATGAAAGGGATATTTTTTTATTGATACTCACATATTTCACTACACAAGATAATACGAAAGCTGAAGGATGCGTAGAAGAGCAGAACAATCAACATGATAATTTTACTGGCAATCAATGTTGCATGTAGAAAGACGTAAAAGTGTACGGTTGTTCTGTCGTACTGGAAATATTTCAGATGTATTAAAATAATATTTATGCAAACACTTTAACCCAGGTAAAAAATTTGGTTTGTACTTCATAAATTCGTGTAACTTCATATTTATACTGTAAGTTTTCTTGTTAAATAATTTCATACGTCTAACGGGGTCAAAAATAAATATAAGAACATTTATATGATGCAATGAATGTAACAATAAATACAGGGTGTTCAAAAAAGGTGGGGACATATTTTACGTAGTGATTCCTTGGGTCAAAATAAAGAGAAAATCAAGAACAACAATTTTTTCCAAAATCGCTTTGTTAACCAGATTTCTGCCATTTTATATTTTTTACATAAACATTTTTATTTTGGAATTTTTTCAACCGATCTTTATGAAACTTGGTATTTATGTTAAGGTAGAAGAGACCCTTGTTAGGAATAGAATTTATCTTGATTCGACTTAAAATTTAAAAATGGCCATTTTAATTTTTTAAACTTAAATTACAAAAAATGGCTAAGTTTATGAAAAAATTTCAAGAATACTTTTATAAATTATATTGGAGATATTGGCAATTAATAATGAAATGTATAATTAAATTTACATAAATAAAAAAAAAATTATTTATTGGCCTTGTTGAACTTGTAAATTAAATTATACATTTCATTAAGAATACTTTTATTTAGCATTTTTAATTCACAATCAAACGATCTCAAGTTCAAGAAGATCGAATAAGAAATAGCTGAAATATTAGAATTTTTAGTTGTAAAATGGGGCAAAACTGACTAGCTTAGCCTTTTTCTACCCCATTTTACAACTAAAAATCGTAATATTTTAGCTATTTCTTCTTCGATCTTCTTAAAATTGGTATCGTTTGATAGGGAATTAAATATTCTAAATAAAAGTATCATTGAAACCTTTTTATAACACCAGCCATTTTTCAGTAATTAAAGTTTAAAAAATTTAAATGGCCACCATTTTAAATTTTAAGTCCAATAAAGATGAATTTTTCCTAACCAAACTTGGAGAGTCGTAGATATAACACCCTGTTTCGTCACTACCTACAATTTTGTACAATTAATCAAACAACTATGGATATGCATCGCCCATTTCTCGACGTACTCGCTCAATAATGTTTACGTCCAATAATGTTTACGTCCAATAATGTTTACGTCCAATAATGTTTACGTCCAATAATGTTTACGTCATTGACTGATGTTGAAGGACGTCCACGACTAGGGACATCGTCAATGCTTTCACGGCCTTCACGAAACCGTTTGTGCCACTCATAAACTCGACTTTTCTTCATCGCCTCTTCAACAATAAAGCATGAATTAACAATTCAATAGTTTCACTAGGTGGTTTTTCTTTTAGGTGAAGCACAGAACTTAATGTTCTCACACTGTTAATGAAATGTCATCTTTCAATGCAGGTACAACGTAGACTTGCAGGCACACGAAAAGTGCTTACGGCTCGTCACCTGTACATCCACTACCGAACCGATACGCCCTCCACAGGAGTCGTATCAACTACTGCAAGGCGAATTTCCCGCTGGCGATCGCACTAAATGTCTACAGAAATTTATTCCAAAATTTTGTTTACTGTGATATGTAAAAACGCAAGCAGTGTATTTTTTGAGAGTCCACATTAGGTGGTACTGCAGGTGAGCAGCAGAACTAACGAAAACAGGTATTGAGTAACAAATGACAAATGAGTAACTAAGACATTTCTTACCGTATACACGCCATATAGTAGTCCTATGGCCACAAATACTTTCAAGCACCCAAAGATAATGCTGCACCAGGTATCATCGGCGGTTGCTGAAAATTTAGAATGAGTCAAATGTAATAAATATTTAGTAAAATGACCTATCTAATTGTTAGCTTAGTTATAAACTCAACGTTCTTGTAAATATCATTATTTATTACAAGTTTTGCCTTTATATTGTATAATATGAATAAATAAATAAATAAATAAATAAATAAATAAATAAATAAATAAATAAATAAATAAAACACGTTAAAATTAGCATAAATATAAAGTTATTTACAACCCCAAACGAAGGCTACGAAGGTTCATAACATCAAAACTGTTATAAATGCACTAATTATATGTTTTATTAAATAAGGTGAAATCACTTCAAGAGCGATACAGTTTACGCAAACGGCTGTAACAGAATTTATTAAACTATTTGTCGTCTAACTAAAGAATTTTAACTTCAAAGAAAAATGTACACATGATGTCATCGAATCATGCAGATTATGCTATACGATATCATTGACTATTGGATACAGAAGAAGATATCCCATTCATATGGATCAGCTGTCGCCAATTTTTTACTAAAAAAGAATGTAGTTGTGTGAGCCATTCACAGATTGCGCTAGTGTCTAAAAATCTATTTTGTACCTTATTTTTTGTTACTGACATAGTTGCTGGGTCACAACAGTTGCTATAGCTCATAATAAGTCATTCCATCAGTTTTACTTGGTAAAAACCATCATGTAATCGGCAGAAGTCAGTGTTGTATTAATAGTCAAAGACGATATCAAGAATAGTTCGCACAACACGTAAGTTGAAACGTTATGTGTTATGGTGACAAAAGTTAAGTAGTGGTACATATTTTAAATATATCAATAAAATTACTCACAATCTCTTACACACCCTGGTTCTGCTGTTAACTGATCATTTAGGTTAACAATTGCAATCACCTGAAAACGTTTAAATGTAAGTTTTACGACAATAATGTAATAATGTAATCATGCACAATAGTAACATTAATAAGTTACGTATTCTATTGATTGACATTATAATACATTAAAATCATTATTATAAAATAAGGCAGCCCTAAAGTTAATATCTTCACGATAGTAAATGGTAGCTAATAACAACTACTCGTATAATTGCTAAATTCCAACGAAATAATGCCAAAACCGTTATCCTTGTTGCTTTTCTTGCAATAAAACTTAAATCTTGAGGTAATTGTAACTTAACTAGTATTTTTTTACAAATTGAACGTGCATACTTTTGAGAGTAAAAAAAAACACCTGTTTATACCAACTGCACATAAAATAAACGACCCTGAAAGTAAAGTTGTCAAACGTCATCCTGTATTTGCTTTCCAAGAATAATCCCACACCAGACAATCCTGTTTTTTACAACTGAGGGTAAACTGTGAGTTAATTTAGGCACGTTTTTTCGTAAAGAAACATATTCAATGTCATAAAAAAAAATCATTTATTTACTTTACCAGTGAGGTAAACATTATCACAAAAATTATTGTCATAATAAAAATTATATTTATTTTATTTTACTGTTAATTCCAATAAGTAATTGTAAACATTGATGTATGGTTTTTTTCATTAAGCTATGGAACTTATGCATTTCCACCATTGAATTTAAACCCGAAATTCTTAAATCTTTTTTAATAATTGAAAACAACGTATTAGTATATAGACCAATCTTTGATTCTGAAGAATATGAAAGTTGTAATTAGCCTAATGCTTTCAAAGATACGCAAAAGAAAAACTACTTCCACTTTTTATTTAGAATATAAAACGATAAAGTTTTCTAGGAATGCCGAGTTTGATCCTGTTCCGTGTAATATCCAGCATTATAATTTATTTGTTTACATTTATAAAAACACTTATGAAATAGAAATACACCGTTTAGGTCATCATTGCAATATAAATTGCCTAGTTCGTAACTAAATCTTATTTATTTAGCTAGATCAAGCTAACCCCTTTTACTAAAAGTATACGCTTCCTAAGCCGTGGTAAATTGATGGTTAAAGAGTGATGATTATCGTTTTCAGATTTCTTTAGAATTTACCCATCCCTAGTTATTTATTGCCAAAATAAGGGTTAAGTGCTGCAACGCGTCCTTTTTTTGTTTATACTTGGGGTAGTTCATTTCTCCATTCACCGGAAACTATTTAGTTTTCACATTATGACGTAGACAGGACACTTTACATGAACTTTGTATTATGAATAAACTTTTATTAAAAAATATTTTCTATAAGGTTAAATTTTATAGATCGATTTACCAATAAATTGTAGGCAAGAATAATATTATTTTTGAAATATTACGAGAAAATATTATTCATAAATATTATTTATGAAATAAATTGTAATTTAAGCATGTTTCCATCATCGAAAACTATATAATCGTTTATAAGATATTGTGGACACCCTGTACTCTTAAGTTATTTTAATAATTATTCGTATTAGATTTCCATCTAATCTATAAAATTGTACGGTTAAAATCGAAGGAAGTTGAATTTTTAGCGAATATAATTTTTCTCTCATGTTTGATTGATTATGATCTAGGACTATGACCTATAGGTAAAGTGGCTACTTGTAATACTGGTTTTCTTTTACATAGAGAATGTTGGGACAGAACTTACAGAAGAGATGTTGGGTTTAACACAATATGTAAACAAGAAGATAAAATGTAAAGTTATTATAATGTTTACAAAAATCGTAACAGGTACAAATATAATCCAATAATGTATAATGATAAGGCTCATGAAGCATCCTGACTTTGCTCCTTAATCAAGTTTCCCATAAAATTCATACCTGAATTTTAAAACAACAAAAAAACTACAAAAAAACGAATACCGTTAATTTTTAATATAGAATCATACTTTTTTAAATTAATATATTACGGGTTCGAAGGATCATTTTAAAAATAATAGTTTCATTTTACTACGGTGTCATTTGTAAGAGGCATGCTAACCCAAACACTATTGATTTTCTGTATAAATAATAGAAAATATGCAGTACTACTGTAAACTACACACAAAAACCACATTCTTGATAACCAGCCGTGACGTTGCAATTATAATATTGAATTTATAAATAAGTTTTTAATTGGAACAATATTTGTGGAGTCAATGTTATTTGGGCGAATAGATGATAAGCTTCACTGTACATATCAGGCTTGTTCCACCCATCAGAATTTCCACCAGTATCTTTTAGCTTTGGAGGTTCGAACTATAAAGGATTTCAAGTTTGTTACAAAAAGATTTATGCATAGGGACAAAAAACACTAAAAACTCTTTATTTTCTACAAACAAGATCAATGACTTATAGAGTTTTGAAATATTGTGCAAGGCAAACCTTTGAACACTAACTAGGGAAGGGGCTTCAACATTTAAAATAACTAGACCATGAAAGGCTGTTGGAATAATATAAATTGACGAAAATTTTGATTATCTGTAAAATTAACGGCCCATGCTGTTAACTGTCCATGCGTCTGTTAATGTTTGCTTCGTTTATTTATTCGGTCATATTTCCCCAATGCCAACTCCAGAGGAGGTCATCATTTGGATGCATTGTTCTATTCAGTATTAGAGATGTAGACAGACATAGTTTTGTATTGTCTTAACAAAAGACAAACATTTGTCCTTCTCAGGTCAATAACTAGCAACATGAAAGACGAAAAAACTATTCGAGAATTTTCAATGATCAGCAAATAATTTGTAAAACTGTACTATTTCCTCACAATGTGTACAGAATATATACCTTAATGAACAATAATCATATAATGAAACTCATTCCGTCCGATTTATTCCTCATTAAGTACTGTATTGTATTATTAAGATTATAACCTTTAATTTGTTATATGCAATTTAGTCTGAGTACTATAGTTGGCTCAAAGAATATGACTCTTTAACAGTACTTTATTATACACATTACCAGTAAGCCCGGTCTTGGCATAGTAGCGCCAATGTCAAGTATGTCATCATTACTGAGTCCAATTATATTCTCATTGTGCCTTTTGGCTTCCTACATTGCTAAGGCGTGACTAAAGCTCATATTTAAGCTGTAGAAGTAAATTTGGCTAAAAAAACTCCGGGTGTACAGCAATAAAATTATATTTACGTTGCTGTTTATGTGAAATAAAAAACTTACTAGAATTTATCGACATAGACATTTGCTCCAATACATTTATGATATCAGGACAATTTGATGTGAAGTAAGGTCACACATTTATGTCCAAAACAAAGAAAAAATTATAACTTTGTTTTTCAAAGGAGGACATTTGTTTATGTTGATAATACTACATAAGTACTAGAAATAAATACTAGAAAGTGTGATAAAGTAAACACTTTCTATTGAAACGTATTTTTTAAGTGAATAGGTAAAAAATAAATTGTAAATTAATAAGTAACGTGCATGGACAAGTAAGTGTTTAAAAACGAAAAATTATATTTATGAATGATTTTTTGTGATTAAAAAAGCGTGCTAAATTGCTTGAAAAATGTACAAAGAGTGTGTAGTATAATTTCACATTAAATACATATTACAACGAAATGAAAAGTTCTTGGTTCCAGATTACTCATCCAAGACATTTAAGAAGTTTAAATAGGTGTTATTTCCAATTAAAATAGCGTTAAATAGTAATAAACTACTGTCTTAGCAAAACGCCTGCATAACTTATTTTACAAATCGCACGGAAAACATCTTATTTGTAGAAACCTAACATACAAAGTGTCTCACTTACAGCAACAATTAACCTTGAAAAACTATTAATAAAAAAACCAAATTAAATATTTCTTTGCAATACTTCCTTTAAAACTGAAATAAAATCATCATAATACAATCCCATTTAATGCAGCCTCTATGGGGTGGTCACGTTCACTGTAGGGGTTGTTTATTACATTGGTTTATTCAGATTAAGCGGGTTGAGATGTAAGCCATGTGGACTGAATGAGAAGTCTACATTTGGTGAGTGACTTTACGATTATTTATCTCCTGTGCAACGGACACTTGGACAGTGGCTAGTGAATCGTCGTGGGACAGCCAGGACCTACGGATCTATTTGTATCGTTGTATATTGTAATATTTTGTGCTTTGTATGTTGTCTGTTATAGGTGTTCCGGTGGCCACCGTCATTATGTACCATTTTGTAGATTTAAGATGGATCCTGTTTGAGGGATTATTATTGATTATTGATTAAGGGTTACTTATTAATTATTGCTGAATATTGATTTTGAATATTGAATTTTTATGATTATGGTAAATTGATTATTATTGATTATTGAGTGCCGATTATTGATTATTGATTTCAGATTAATAATTCGGATTATCTCTGAATATTGATTATTGATTCTTGACTATTGATTACGGATTATTGATTAGAAAATTTAATTATTAAGTACTGTTCTCATATTGCTTTTGAAACTGATGTTGATTTAAATTACATTTGCTCATTTAACTGTATAAACTTCAACTTGATTTGTTATCAGGGCATTCGTATCTTGAGATAAATAGAGCTTATCAGACACATTTGGATTTTTATTTGATAGTCCAGTTAGTTTCTATTTGGGTCTAATTAGTATAGCAAATCTCTATAGCTACTATAGTTCTTAAGTATTTTGGGTAAGTTGGTGACAAATAAAATTTAGGTATTTATCGATTAGGTAAATGGTTAGGGCAACTCAAGTCAATGTAGAGTATGGTCAATTGACATCACAGGTGTTAGGTTTACCCTGCTTACCACAACTATAGGCAACACTACTGGGAGATTGGTTCCTTGTGACAATCGACAGTCAACTTGCCCATATCACAAGGTGGCGCCCTTTCAATTAAATACTATCCATCGTAGTGTAACACCTCACTGGCCTAAGACACATCGCACCCCGCCCATTGAGCTAGTCTGGAGCAAACTTGCTGGCAGTTGGTCAAATTAGTCAAACTGTTACAAA